CTCAATATCTCCCGGCAGTCACCATCATCATGTGTGCTAGTGGTGCCCACAGCAGAGTGAAGGGCGCTTACTATGCCAGTCACTTCCTTCCATCTCTGTGTCCCTGAGAGACCTAATTGATATTCCAAAGCTGAGTTGGAGCTGCATCTCGGGCTCACCTTAGTCATTAGTGAGCCCCACAGGGCTGTTTGCATTATAATCTCTGATTTAGATTGTGTGTTGCCTCCGTGTCCTTCCCTCGAGGTTGAGCTGCACGTGCAGCTCAACCTCGAGGGTTTGTTTCTCATCATGCCTGACTTACTTATGAAGCAGCATGATAAAGCCAGGGGCATGTTTATGTGTGTCTGCTTTTCTTAATCACAAGGTCTTTCCTCATGAGCCTGTTAAACACTGGTGGATTCTCCATCAGCGTAACATTCTCATCAGCACCAAACAAGCACACATTTCTCCCCACAGCTCTCGGTTCCCTCGGCTAAACCAAACCACAGATTAACATCAATTACATCACTCTCCCTCATTAATGTCACCACACTGTGGGGATGTTAGCCATTGTCATGGCGATGTACAGTACCTGTTGGAGAATTATCTCTCTGTGTCCTCCCTCCTCCATCTTCATCCACTGATTTACACCTCATTAGGTCAACTGCATCAATGGCATCATGGAATAATCTCAGCCCCCTTGATAAGGTTCTGAGAACTCTGTGCTGTCATTATGGAAGGAGTTAGGTCTTTCTTCAAACAAATGGATTGCAGATTTTAGGACAATATAAGAGACATATGAACATTTGTACATGAATTTTGGCCAATGAAAAAGTGTTATTAAGACATAAATACCCCATTTATTGTTGCTCATTCTCTCGCTCCTCTCGGATGATCCAGTTCATCAGAACAAAGGAAATGACATAGCCAGCACTGTTATGTCCAAAAAGATCCCACTGGGAACAATCAAGACCATTTTGGTGTTTACATCTTCATGAGAAGGGAGTTAGAAACCTACTTTAATTGACTGAGGCATGAGAATATTATGTAAAACACTTGGGCTTTTCAATCCTGGCACATACAAAATTATGTATTTCACTATAATGTGCAGGATGAAACAGGTGGTAATGTCTAACAAGATCCTAATCTCCCTGGCTGCAAGCCTGAGCTTTTATTGTACCTTATAATATTGAATTTTACCCATTACACATATTCACAGCATGCATGAGGGACCACGTAAAAGAGTCCTGATGTTGTGTACCTGCACTTTATAAATATGATCCAAGTTCATGGGCAACATAAAAAAGCATTTTTGTCCTGGAAAAAATTCCCTTGGGGTCAATTAGTCCATCGATTTAAATTAATTTTATAAATAAGAGGATTGCATGCTTCATTTTCATGTTGTGCTATGAAAGAAAGACTAAAATTAAACGATTGAAGGCATTTAAATTGTTTGTATCTCCTGGTATTTGGATCCTGGATTCTGAGCCAAGCAGAGAGTGCAGGTGCCTGATGACTCACCTTGAACGAAACTGAAATTAATGAAAAGCAGGTGGGTACTTCAAAGGCTGACTGCTCCAGCAGTATGACCACATATACTGGCAATGTCCAACCTCAGCTGCTGTACTGTATCTCTGTATCTCTAAGATACAGAATAAATAGATAATGATTGTGGTTCAGTCTAAGTATTTTCATGTCTGGTACAGAAAGTACTTATTAGTATGGGCTCAAATGATATATAAAGGATTTTATCCCTTTAACTGACCTACTTTAACACCACACTATCTTTGATCAATGCTCCTAAGCTTGACATTCCTTAATGTTTGGATGTTTTAATAATAATAATAATAATAATTGGATTCTTGCCATGACCCCAAATAATCATTTGCAAAATAGCTGGAAATGTTACACACTAAATGCAGCCACAGCAATGTTTTTAATGTTTTTCCACCAGATCACAGATGAGGAGGGAAGCTGCAAACAAAACGCTGAATGCATCAAATTCTTCAACCGACTTCAGGAAGTGGTTTATCGCCATGTCTGACATTGAATACACAAATTTAGGCATCACAGAAGTCTTAATATTTTATTTCATTTTTGCTCAACAGTAGCTACTTTGTTCCATTTAAAATCCTAGATTACAAATGCAGTGTATATTAAGTATGGCAGGAGAGGAGATGTTCTAAATATACATTTTCTCATCAGGAGGGATCAAATAAATATATTGCAGTGTACAACTTTTGCAACATCTGACAGCTGCAAAGTTTAAATAGATTTATTTTCCATAATCGTTATCTCTCTTCTCTTTATGTCATAATGTTCCGTCAGCTGTTGAAATTAGCATCTGCATTGAGCAGGTGTGAACATGTTTCCATGGAAATGAGGAATCTCTTGACAAACATGTGCTATCTGCCTGATTGAAATATATCAATCAATCTAAAAGCTATGATCACTTGATTATGCCCAGTCCCTGGTTTCAGTTAAAGATGAATCTATAGAAAACTCTATGGATGCAGAATAAGGCCACAATATTAGTTGAATGATATATTTCTTAATCAAACCAAACCTTAAATATTCAACACAAGTCTGGACTATAAACACTGATAAATGAGTTCTAAGATGTGAGAGGTTGCATACTGTGTTGACTCCGACTGACTGAGGTTGAATGTAGGTTTCAGTATGGAACAAGCATCTCTAGCTCTGCAGCTAAAGGTTGCACGCAGCAGGATGCCCACTCCCTGGGCTTTCCCCCTGTGCCACATAGTCTCTCAGATCAATGTGTTCTTTCACTGCACTTCACAGGGTACATGGTGTTTCTTGCAGACAGGAGACGCACACAGCAGTCACACAAAAACAACCAACCTTGCCTCACAACTTCATCTAATCTCTGTGAAATGTTTCAGTGACAGGGTTTCAAGGAATTCTGGGACTCTCTGTTGGTCTGCCTCTTTAAAGCAGCAACTTCTATCTCAGAGGAAAATCTCCTGGGATCAATCTGTAATTAAAGCCGAATCGCCTCAAGCCCAATTTAACTACTGAAAAGTCTAAGGGCATGTAAGACAAATGCAAAGAGTATGAAATGAAAACAGGAGTCATCAACAAAGAAGAAAAGGAAAAAGGAAGGCTTTGAAAAGCACTAAACAAAGTGGGACAGTGTAAGCTCAGAAGAATTTGACACTGTTTTTGCATTTTGTGTCATTTTGAAGTAATTTCTCCTCATAAGCTATTAAAAAAACATCTACTGCAAAACAGTGCTGAAAAAAATTCAATAAAATAAAAAAGAACATTCAGTAATTAATTTGGCAATAGAATATTTGCTTGTGGTAATGAGCAGTTAATGTTAAATATGAAATACAAGCTTGGAAGTGAACCTGCTGACCTCTCAAATTAATACAACTTAACAAATTAACTCAATAAATCTAATAATTATCCTTCACAGTAAAGTCTTATCAGATATTTTGTAAAATACATGTGGGTGTGAATGGTTGTTTGTCTCTGTATGTCTAGCCCTGTGACACGCTGGTGACCTGTCCAGGGAGGATCCCGCCTCTGGCTCAATGTCAACAAGGATTGGCTCCAACTCCCCCCGTGACCGTCAAAAGAATAAGTGGTATATATAACGGATGGATGAATTTTGTAAGAGGATGATGGAAGATCTTATATAAAATTTACACAGATGATCCCACTTTTTCTTCAAAGTAAATTTTCAATGGATCGTTCACTGTCAAAATTAAATAAAAATAATGCTTTTAAAAAGTGAGTTTGGTCATAATGTTGTGTGAGGGAACAGTTCATGTGTGTAGATCCAGATGTGAGTTATACTGTAGATATACATATGGATGACATTTCCATATTCATGCGCTCTACTGATGTTGAATCTTACCTTTGTAGTTTGTGGAGCGAGATGTTGCTTCCCACTGTTTCAGAGAGACAAAGTGAACACTGACTGCTACAGCCCTGTGCGTCTGTTGTCCCGTCTCTCCTCTGTGATCGTTGCCCATGCAAACCATTCTAAGAAATACCTCGCAAACTGCTGACTTTGATAACGACGGTGAGATCTGATTCTGTGTGCATGCACAATCAAGGGGTACAATCAACAATCAACAGTCACTGAGCTGAATTGTGTTTACTAATGACTTGTCTCTCAGAACATGTGTGTAATTGAGGGTCTCATAAAGCAACAGTGCTTTGATAGTGTTCACAGACAACAACACACACAGTGTTGTCTTGCTGGGGAGCCAGGCATGTATGCATGTCTATTGTGCATTCAGTGCACTACAGGCAGCGAGGGGAATGAGGGGTGGAGAGGTGTGTGTGTGCGCGTGTGTGTGGGAGGAGGGCTTTGAACACACTTACCTAATTGACCACAGTTTGATATTTTTTAGGGTGCGGTGTGCAGAATGCATTTCTCAATATGTCTACCACATAAACAAAGAATTGTTTTGAAGGGCGGACATTATTTCATTGACATGAGGTCATATTAACAGAGACTATATTCTGATTATTTACTCGTTGTTTGTGCAAATGACACACACATGACTTACCTCAACAGCGCTCTATGTTATATTTTACCAGAGGATGCAGTTGAAAAGAAATTGTTGTGTATTGTGTGAATTGCATCAGTGAATCTCTGGGACATGATGCCCCTGTTACCAATTAGGTAATTTCCCATCTGCACATGTTTATTGTAACTGCTAAAGGTTTAAAGGAAAAGCAACGAGATAACAAGCGTTCAAGTTCATGGTGTTTGTGCTTGTAACAAGATGAGCAAAGAATTCCAGCCATTGAACGTGAGATGTTTTGTACAGTATGACTGGATGCCTTCACAGATGGTAATGTTGACTCTGGAGCTCTGGCTGCTGCAGGCCAGGAAACATCACTAGCACTAGGGCCATGTGAGACCACTGTTAAAAAAAAAAGAAAGTTTGAGATTTTTCTTCACAGCCCATTGTAAGCAATCAGGCAAATAGAAGCTTGCAGTCTTGTAGTGCACAGGCACTTCTTTTCAGAAGGCAGAGAGCAATGCTCAGTCTACTGACAGGCGAGCCAGCAGACCGACAAGAAGTCAGGACATATTCTCATAGCACTAACAGACGGTAACACCACCAGTGGGTCTCCTGAAGCCCACTTTGACTCTCCTGGGTGTGATTGCTCCTGACTGCACATTCATCCTCGTCTGTTGCTGGCAGTGAAACCCTGCAGATGCACTCAACCGCAGGCCTGCTTCTCAACCCTGCATCTGTCTCAACACTTGCACTTAAGCTGTGGGAAGAGGACTCGCATGTTTTATTGACACAGCTACAGGTGGTTTGAATTTTAGCCTCTGGTGGACTGGGAGGGTTTTTTCCCGCGTGGTGAGTTGCAGTGTCTTTGGAACCAGTATGTTGTCTATTGTTGTGGGATGTTTGGTATTCACCCTGCTGGGCTCAGGGCAGGCTCAAGTTGCTGTACAGACTGAGGGCCAGAGCCAGGGCCAGAGCCAGGGCCAGGGGCAGGTAAGCTCTGCCACTCCATGGAGGCAGGTGATTCAATGGGAGAACAATGGACGGGTGTTTAGCCTGCTTAACAGTGGAGCTGAATATGTCCCTGCTCGAGCAGGGTCCCAGGACAGAGCTCCCAGGGTGGTTGTGGCAGATTCTCATCTGCGCTCACCAGGTAGACCTCAGGGCGGCAATGTCCGCCGACAGGCCCCTTCAAGAGGATCCTCTGAGACTGTCCGTGGGCAGGCAAGACATCCTTTTGGCTTTGGGCAAGTACCTGATAATTGGAGATTAACTGCAGGCAGCACAGGTGGAAGCCAGTTCCAGGGATCATCTGCCACTCGCTTCAGGCCATCCACAGGCTCTTCATCCTCTTCATCATCATCCTCATCTTTCTCTTCATCCTCTTATAATTTACCATCCTACCCACAGTACCCACAGTTACCTCCACAGTCCCCCTTCCAACCAGTGCCTTATGACCCTAGTTTTGTGGAGGGACCAGCCAGGAGCTATGAGCCTCCCTTTCAACCTGTTGGCGGTGGAGGATATAATGCTGGAGGTTACGGTGTTGGCCAGGTTTATCCTGGAGGAGGGTATGTAGGTGGTGCGGCCCCAGTGCTCCCTGGCTCTCCTTCCGATTTTGCTGACGACAGCTACCGTTACTTCCAGTCTTACAGCTACGGGCCCATTCCTGCTGTTCCTCCACGTGCAGCACAACCACCATTCACAGATGGTCTGGACCGCAGATACACCCACAGTCTCTACAATGAAGACTCTGCTCCTGCTGTCCCTCTCCCAAATCCCAACCAGGCCACACCGATGTTAGTGGACAGGACTGGACCGGCAGTGCAACCACAAATCAGGAGCCCTCAATATGAGCAGTTTCCTCCATTTGGAAGACCCCAACCGCCTTTCATGCAACCCATTCCTGCAGGAAGAAATTCTCCAAACTCTGCCCTTGAGAACCCCAATATAAACGTTGGAAGTGTGTACCGGCAGGAACAGATAGGTACAGTACGCTTGGATTTTTGTGAACTCAAACAATTTATCCTTTATTTCTTATTTTGTTCAGGGAACTTTAACCAAATATTTGAAGTCTGTGACACATGAGAGGAGTAACAGTTGATGCTGATTTTGAGGAATGTGTTGTAAAACACTTGAAATATTTGAAATTGCCAGAAATAACGAGTGAGTTTATTTGTAGGCATTTACCAAGGTATTTCTATCTTTTGAGGCAGATTATCAAAAGACCACTATTTGATTTCTCTTAATGCTGGACATATGAATTCAAAATATGTCGAACCCAGGGGTGTGGAGCGCTCACAACCCTCCTTAAATACACAGCCATGTTTCTCCAGTATAACTCTTTCATGTCAGACATATGAAGTAATCAGAATGAAACAGACGCTCAAAAGTCTGCTGTTTATTTACTTTACAAACAAAGTGAAGTGGACGTAAGGTTCATCTTTTCCCACATGAAGGGTTATTAGAACCAGGTGTTAAGAGAGCCCTGCCAATGAACAGAGAGCACACACACAAAAACCACTGTGTTTTTGTGAGGGCGGTTCTGTTCCATAAGAAAGAGGGTCTGAGGCGTGTGGAGTTTTGCAATAGTGGTGACCTCATAGTGGGGCTTGTGACGGGGTGGTGGGGGTGGGCAGTGGTTGCCTCTTAGGTTTGAGGACAGGAAAGAGGAAAGAAGGGGTGGGGTGGGGTAGTACAGTTCTTCACCATTCCCTGAGGGAGAGGGAGAACATGGAAAGTCCCAGTAACACATGGGGTCCATTGCTTCAGCTACAGGAAATCGGGGAAATATTTAGGCAGAGTTAGGCCTCCTTGGAGGTGGGGGGATATGTGAATGGAAGTGTCAAATCCTGCAGTAACATAAACTCTTTCTGTAACAAGGCAGACCGTTTCTGTAAATCTATTAGCAATTTATCAGGAGATGAGGACCTCTAATGAAATTCTTAATTATGCACATTTAGATTTTCTGTTTTGATCTCTGTTGTGCTGTATTACTTGCAAACACCATTTATTAGACTCGATATGCAGATGCCTTCATGCTCTCTGTAATCATTGTGATAAGGATTCAACCATTGGGAGCTGTTGAAGAGTTGATATTTGTATTGCCCTTCCCTAATGGCACAGAAGCTATTCCAGTATTGTTAAAACTATGGCGATCTACAGGTTTTGACTTGACTACTAACAGAGGTTGTATAAAACAATCTTAAAATACATTGTTGTGTGGTATCAGAGGCAGACTGCTAATGACATAATCTGTCAATTTCATCATTGTGGCTACTGGGCACATTTACGGTGTGGACTTAGCATTGGTGGGCAAGCATGGTAACAAACCTGGCAACCATGCAGATAACTGCAGTAATTAAGTTTACAACCAAACAAAAATGTCATAGCAAAGTCCCTTCCCATTCATTGTGTAACCCTCATAAGAAACAACATGTAATGTGTGTTCAGAGCAAATACACATTTAAACCACATGTGAAAAATGCGTCTTCTGGATTTAGCATCAGCCAGGCACAACAGCCAATGACCAAAGGGGACGATGACCTAAGTGATATGCTAAATGAACTTTTGTGTTTAGGTATTACTCAATAATCTTTCCTGTTATGTCATGCAGGCAATTGTAACGTATGCTTGATTATGTTCATAAGCAACATGTTTTTGTAGGGAGATAAGTGTTTATCTACCAGAGTCACAGGGAAGTCAGGGTGGATGGTTTGTATTCAAAGGCCAGGGTTTGCTTTAAGCATCAAATGCACTTTCATTAAAGGTCCAGTGTGTAAGATTTAGGTGAAAGGGATCTATTGGCAGAAATTTAATGCAGAATAATCCTCATGATGTTTTCACTAGTTAGTTTCATCTAAATTGTTTGAACTGTAGTTTTCTTTACCCTAGAAAAAGGCCCTTTATATTTAAATACTTTATATTCACATCAAGGGGGGAAAAAAAGCAATTATTAAGGCTAATTTGCTAAATTACCTTTTCTTTATTGTGTTATAGAAAATATAATCTGATTATTAATACGGTTCTTTCTAAATAATTCATGTTGCACGGTAGTTGAGCATAAAAAACGTTATTGTAATGCAAAGATTGAAGAAGTGGAATGTGTGATATATTTTGTTCTCTCTAAATACCGATTGACAGTCAAGCCAACAAAGATCAACATCAGTCTGATTTGCTAACAAATTGGCTGAGAGGCACTTCTAAGATGCTGCAGAGTGGAACCTGACTGAGCAGCTTTGGTGATGGTGTGTTCTAGTTTGGAAAGCTACATTGTTGTGGGTGGTTTTGTGAATAATTAATTGGCTTTAATGAAGTTACATGGCAAAGATTAGTTCAAAAAGTCTGCATAATGGCCAAGCTATGCATCTTGCAGCAAATCGTCATTTCATGTCACTCTTTGTTACTCTCACACTCCCTGACAAATTCAGCAGCATAGGTTTGAGTAATTAGACCATAAGTGGTTCTGAGTAATTCACCACAATGAAAACCATTTTAGTGTTACGATTACTGCTATTAATAATAACAATGATAATAATAATAATAACTTGCATTTATCTATCACCTTTCATGGTATCCAAGACCGCTTTACAGAGAGGAAAAAATACAATAACACAGAAAAGATTAAAATACTTAATTATATAGATTTAAATCAATTTAAATTGACCACCAAAAATCAATTGGTTGATAAGCATGAAAATAGATGCACTAGTGTTTATTGTAATAAGAAAAAGTAGAGCATAAACTGTCTGACAAGGGAAGATGTGAAAGTATTGATATGATTTCTGTTTTTTCATTATGAGAAAACCTCAATAAATTCAAATGTGTCAGTCCTCAAAGCTCATAGCTTAAAGCAGAAGAGAGAGGGAGCCCTCATGTCTTTTATTAAGCTAAAAAACCTGGCAAGATCCACTTCCTTCTCTCTGTGCCCCACTTAGAGTGTAATGTGTGGCTTTGTCACATGCTGTCGAGAGCTGATCAGCTTTGGCTTCTCAATACATTTTATCTCTCTGAAAGAGACCCAATTTCACATTTCAAAAGATTAGAGGGCAGAGAACAAAGCCTTCTCAGGGAGAGAGGCAGGAAAAAAAATGGAATTGATGCTGCTGTTGGAAAACCTCAGCGTTTCACACTGGTCTTACAGTGTTTACATGGTCTGGCCCAGGAAGCTTCACGCTATCCTATATGTCGGCCTCAGAGAGACAGCTGTCAGATGTGATGTTTACACTACACCTGCAAAAGGCAGGGCCTTTATTTAAACTTGCAGCTGGGGAGGCAAGAATCACCTGGTTGTTAAAAGCCGGTAATGATAAAAGAGGATACTTCCTATGTGGTTTCCATAAACACATCATGAATAAAGCCCTTCATGTTTCCCAAAATCAAAGATAATATTGCTCAATCGTCTATCTTCTGTACTCTCTGGTAAAAACGTACTGCAGAGGCTGGAACATAAAGGATGTACATCACTTTCATGATTATGTTAATGCTTCTGGGCTTAGAGGTCAGATGGTTCGAGTTGCTTGAACAATCTCACGTTAAAACATGTCTGGCCTTCATGAGCTTAAGAGAGAGGGTTGATAAGCTATGTCAGAGACCCCTGCTGGCAAGGCCTTTATTGGGAATGAGACAGAAAGATATTCACTCTGACAAGTCAGGCCTGTTTTTTTGTTTTTTTTGCTTGTTCCTCAGGTTTTCCAACAGACTTGGTCAGCAGCCCACTTTAAAAACAGGAGTAGTGTGAGATCACTGTTGTTTTACTCTGGCACGCACGTTCTCCGGGTCTATGTCTCTGTCTGGCTCACTTGCTGAATCACCTCTGCCCCTCTCCATCTCTCCATCTCTTCATCTCCGTCACTTGTTTGCAGAAAACAAAGTATGAAAAACATTGACTGTATTGCATTCAGCCCTCCTTTGACAACTTGGAGATATAGCTTAGATATTTCAAAGTTTTTCCTTATTCCCAAAACATTCGGCTCCTGTGGTTATGGCTTATCGTGCTGTGTTTAATATACTGAAGTACAGGCTGAAATATCACATACATGTTAATGTTTGGAGTCGTGAAGGTTCACGACATGTTGCCAAGGAACCAAGGTTTTTTTTTCCTCAAATGATAAAATATATTTGCAGGTCAAACAAATGTTGTTGAGTTTAGTTGATGCCTTTTCAAACTAAAATGTAAAAGTATGGATGTAGCCTTAAACTATTGGGAGATCCAGGTTTACCATTATGCTCTCACCCCTGTCTGAGAGGCACATATGCAAAAGCATGATAATAATCTTGAATGCACAGTGATTATTGGCCAATGGCGTTTTCTGACCTAGTCTTGAACTGCAGGCCCTGTCACTGCATCATTACCCAACGAATCCTCCATCAGCACCACCATATATATTTAACAAGTAATACAAAATTGATGACAAATATGCAGTTTCAGGCTGGAATGCAGAAATTAAAAATTGACGTGTCTTGAAAAAACATCAGTCATTGACAGTTGGATTATTTTAGGTTCCTCCCCCATGGGGGTTATGTTTTCACCCCTGTCTGTTGGTTTAGATCTTGTAAGCAGGATTACACAAAAACTACTGAGCTGATTTTCAAAAAACAAGAAAGAATCCTTCAAATTTCTGGGTGGATCCAGACAAAAGGGCAGATACAACATTGTGTTTTTTGACATTCTCACTGATTTCCCAGAGAATAATTCATGGATCTTGGTGAAGTACAAATATGGTTTATTTAGGGAACTGGTATGAGTGTGTGTAGTTTGTGTGTAAAAACTCAGATCCAGCAGATTTAATGTGGTATCTTAAGAGGACTGTTAGGACATGGTGGAGGTGCAGTCCATTGAGAGCCAGTCTAATTGTAAATGAAATCATAAAAACTGTGCTATAAATACATTTTATGAGCTTATTTACTTCTATTGAGGTGTTTAAGTAATTACATTTTTTTTAAAGAAATCTCACAAATGTGTGTGAACAAACAGAAAAAGTTGTGATGGTCTGAAATGACAATATAGACTGAACAGTCTTTCTATCTTTTCAGGTTTTCCTGACCTGGTTCCTGATCCCAATTATGTCCAGGCCTCCACATACATACAGAGAGCGCACATGTATTCTCTCCGCTGTGCTGCGGAGGAAAAATGTCTGTCAAGGTAAACTGAATTCTGGATGCCCTTTACTGCCGAGCATTTATTTATTTATACATTTCTCTACTTTTTAGTGTGTTCATTCTCATGTCGCAGCATCTAGAATGCTCTTGCCCCCAGGGGTTATGTTTTTTATGTTTCAGGGACAACTGTTTTCATTGTAATGGTTTTTCTTGCGTCTTGAGGGCAGCATTGAGGCTCAGTGTTTAGATCCTCTGAAAATATCAAATTTAGGTCAATATAGTTTCTAATAATTAAACCTGTCTTCCAAACACACACATTATTCCATTACAGGGGATATAAGTGCTCAGTATTATTTGTATTTATTTGACCAATCACAACTGTCTTTGGGGACACTAAACCCAGGATGCAGATTATTAAATAGGCAAATTTTCTGCAAAGGAAATTGTCATAAGAACAGTTAAAAACATATGTTGACTTTGTGGTTGCATGATCCAGATCTTTAGAAAATTTAGCACATTTGTAGTGCATATCTTGTTGTGTTTCCTGCAGCGAAGGGGATTTTGAAAATGGTAACACGCCAGTAGGAGTGTGCTTAATCTTTCTGAAATAGGTGCTCAATTGTCTACATCTGGTGAGTTGGACAAGTAAAGTGAAAGCAATAAATTGTGTTTCCTCTCTTGATGTAGCCCTCAAATCGACTGGTTGCATGTTCAGGTTACACTCTGCTTCAGTACTTTACAAATAAAAAAATGTTTGAACTGCTTCACCTTTGAGTATCGTTACCTAGTGAATGAACCATTCACAATTCTAAAATAGCCCAGACAATTATATCCATTCTGTGAAATAATATCTGAAAGAGGTCATGAAATTTCTTTTACCAACAGCATAACAGTAAACCAAAAATCACCTTCAGGGATCCAGCCTGCCTTTAGTTTCATTTCTTTGTGTTTGTGAATAGAATCCCTTGAGCCCCGGCCCTGGGCCCTTTGACTGTCTCTGCACTAAGAACACTATTGAAATGATGGAAGTGTGCTGTCCCCATTGCTGCTCTATTTGCCCTCTTCCCGTCACAAGCACAGCCATCCCTCAAAGCCCTTTCATATCCTGTCTGAGTTTGCAGCAATCACATACAGATGGGCTGTTGTAATTTCCCATACACTCAAATGTCAACAACAGCCACAAGACATACGTCTTACATCTTGGTGGTACTGAGGTGTTGTGCCTCCTTTTTCACAAAAAAAGTCAGTGTTCCCTGTGTCTATGTTAGAACTGTGAAGAAATGGCTGTTATGTGTAAGATGAATTATTTAGTAGATATCCTCCTCCTTCCAAGCCTTTTACAATCCTGATCCTTTTTTTTCTCCTATTCCTTGTCTTAGTTATGAGAAACAGACATGCTGACATGCTTTTTGCTGCCACTTGTGCAGTTTCCCCTCACTGTTTTCTTGTTTGTTGTATTTCTCTGCAATTCAGCTCTGCCTATGGCCCTGAGACCACTGACTATGATGTAAGAGTCTTGCTGCGATTCCCACAGAGGGTGAAGAACAAGGGCACTGCCGACTTCATGCCGAACAGGCCACGTCATACCTGGGAGTGGCATAGCTGTCATCAGTAAGTGTTTAATACAAAACAGATTTTATCCTATCAGCTTGTCAGGCTTTACTCACAATAATATCAGCGGCTGTGGTAACCAGGGAGTCAACAAACACTTCTTTGTCGGTCTGATTTTATTCTTACAGATTCAATTTTTATGTCTGTCTAGAAATGGTTGCTGGGTTTGGTAATAACATGAGTTCTAAAAGTTGTAAAATTCCTGATACAGCTGTTTTTAATGGTGAATTTGTGAATAATAATGTTCTATGAATTATATTTAATGAATCTACTGAATCATGATAAAATATGTTTTGCACTTCTTTGTCCAATCAGGATGAGTCTTGATGCTACATCCACCAAGGCAGCAGCAAAGTAACAGCAGAGTTATAGGGTGAAAAAGCAATTCAGCTTACACTTATTATCATGTTGTGCGTTCATGAGGTGTTGGAGAAATCGGACAAATTTGTTCTGAACTGACCTGAACGCCATTTCAAGTCCGAACAACAATGTTGGTACACAAGTTGCAGGGTTTTAACATCATCACTTATAAACCAAATCAGCTTAAAATAGTAGCTTTTAGTGTTTAACTTCAGTAACAGGATCTTCCAAGGAGCAAGTGAATGCACATATAGAATTAAAGGGACAGTATGTAACCACTGTGTTATTTTGCACAAGTATTGCCATCTCACTAACTTTATTGAAATAAAGGCAGCATTGATGGCTAGATGTCTAAATTTCCAGCTGGGGCACAAACATGACATGATATGCCATGGCCTGCAATGGGAAGGTTAGGTAAGCTTCATTCAAAGTAGAAATGGAATTCATGAATTACCTTGCTGATTTAAAAGACTCCATTCATTTCAGTTGAAAGATTCATAGTCAGTCTTCATAGTTTGGTCAATTTTGTTTGGCTGGACCACAACGGTGAAGTCAGCCTTGGAAATGAGAATGTCCTTGACAGATCGAGTGACTGACAGACTGATGAAGCTACAGCATTTGTCAGCTGATAAAATATTTGATTTTCCACATTTGCCACTGCTTTTTGAAATTATTGACATGAATAGTTTCCATTACATCTTCAGAAGGGCTTTTGCAGCCAGTGTTGCCGACTTAGAGCCTTTGTCACGACATTAACTGACTTTATGATACTTTTGGCGACTTCATATTTAAAAAAAAGTTGTTTTTAGTTTTGGCTTACACCTCTGTAACCATACCTCTCTGTCTCTCTTATTGAAATTGGCAGGCTTGGAAGCGACTGCTGGTCTTAATGGGCTGCATTTCAGTCACTATTTAATACTTAATTGTTGTCTGCCAACAGCAACAGAAAAACATGTAAATCAGAGCAACTTCATTCAGAATTTGCCAGTATTAAAATACTGTATATGTGAGCATAGATATTTATACAGGTTTTATTTACTTTCCATTGAGAGTAGTTGTTCTTAGCATTTCTACAACACTTTTCAACTACGTCTTCAATTTTGCTCATTGCTGTTCCAAACTAGATTGAGCTAATCAGTTGCATCACCTTAACTGCACTAATAATAGTTAATTGTCCTTAATGGTAGGGTTAAGTAGTCTCTTAAAACATATTTTTATCTAATTTGTTAAAATCCTCTGTACATCCTGACAGCCATCATTAAATATAGTTGTCTGGGGAAAAAAAGAGGTGCCTGTGGCCCTTGCAGGACTCGACCAATCATTTCATTCTGACCAAATGGAATGACTGGCTGGCGTACCTGTCTGTTACTAACCAACCTACCTGCCTGCACACATCCGTGCTCTCACTGCACATGCCGGAGAGAAATACACCACTGAAGCAGAGACAATATCCAGAAGCCAGAGTCTAAGAAAAGTCGGCTTCTAGCATTTGTTGTTGTGTTTTTGGGGCATAGCTTAGATGAGAGGGGATGCGATATATCAGTTACATGTTTTCAAATTGTAGGCTGCTCTCACTACTAACTTTTCCAGGATTAGCACCCTAGCTTTAAATATGTCCCTCTGTTCATTCAGTATGTTAGTAGTCCAAGCTGTCACATATAATTCAAAACCATATACAAGCATTACAAGCAACCCAGGCTTTATATCTCAGCAGCCAGTTATTACTGACATAATTATCAGATCAGAAGAGCCCTGTCTCGCAACGTTAAGCAATGTGAAAAAATTATCCCGGATACACCACCTCATTCACATCCACACCAAGATTTAATGGGTTCTTATTCCTTGGTCCATTTTTCATCCTTCGACCAAGGTTTGTGGAAATCCATTCTGTTGTTTTTGTGTGGTATTGCTTAAACCCAGAGATTAGTGAAAACATAACCTCTTTAGCGAAGGTAATAAGATGAGTTTTCAGTGATCCACTGCTCTTACCACTGATTCAGTATATGACACCAGTGGTTACCTTTGAAAAATGTGTTTATATATGCAGTGATCACCTCTAGTTCCAACTAACAATACAAGATCAGCAGTACTCACCCTCTCATCACTGGGAGATGACTGTAACCCACCCTCATAATCCCAGCAGGTCTCATTATATCTAGTGGACACTTAAGCAGCAAATGAGTTTGGATGTAAGCCTTGGTTTATAAAACATTATAGTGTTTACTTGTCATTTCTCTAGTAATGGCCCACCCCCAAAGGCATAACCCAGGCACTAACATTTCAAATGCCTGGGTTCATGGTGGGTTTGCAGGGCAGTGGGAGTCCTCTGTTGAAGTGGAGCACTGTGAGGTTGTTGACTTTGAAAGTTTGCACACAGTATGTTTCATTATGCTGTTCCAAAGAGGAGGGGGGGATTCGTTGTGGGGAGAGGGGAGGGGTCAAACCTATGGAGTTCATTTGAGAGTCAACCACGCGTGAAATAGAACAACGGGTCGATACACTCGAATTCCACTGTACATGAAAAACGATGATATTAAGCATTGTGGCTTTGATCAATTCAGAGAGCAGTTCTCTCTCTCTCTCATTGTGTCTTCCTCAGTGGACAGAGCTTATTTGGTTTAGCCAGAGCGGCAGTGGCTCAGATCGAACACCTCTGTGGGGACTGCTAATGAGGTGATTCAGAGGCTATCGTCATTGTTTTATGACATGATATTCCATGTGGACTGGGCTCTTATCACACTTCCAGAGAGTCCGCACTGACACTTTATTGTACCAGGCTCTATACTGTCCTCATCTTAGAGGAATGTGGACTGGCCGTTTGGAGATTGGCAGTGTTGTTGCTGTCTGACATCAGTCTGCATTTATACAGCGGTTCCCAGGCGGCAGAAAGCCAAGGATAATCATTCCACTGACCTGTGTGATCAGAATGACAAATCAATCCATTTTTCCTGTCTGGCTGTGACACCAGATCACACAACTGTTAAGGTATATGGGTTACTGGGACGCAGTGTTTGGTAACAAAGAAATCTCTTTAGGGGGAAGTAAATCTTGAGCTCAGATTCTCACAATAAACTTCCCTGCCCTACATTTTTGTCGAATAAGCTGTGTGGTTGACAGCTTTGGGTCTCACTACATTCACTCTTCAGTATTAGAAGAAGGGAGGGGAACAGCATCCATTAGTGTGGGAAGCATGACAGTGACTGAAATTAACTTTTATTTTCTATACTTAGAATAAGTTAATCAAATAGTTCTTTATCATTAAATGTAGGATTAGTCATTTGTTTCTGTAAAACTTATCTTCTTTGTTGAAAATCTCCTCACGTCCTGATAGCCATCAATAAATAAAGTCGTCCGGAAAAAAGAAAAAAAGCTAATGTCTATAGCCCTTCCAGGAATGTAATAAACAAAACCACTAATTTAATTTGGACTGAATTAAATGGTATACCTGTCTGTTTCTAACAGACCTGCCTGCCGTTGCTTTCCTTTGGTATGACCAGAGTCTTCCAGAGCCGGAGAGACATACAACGCTGAGGCAGGGACGATAGCCAGACGTTTGCGAGTGTGTAAGGGAGAAGTGAGCTTTTAGCTTTGACAAGAGAGCGGATGGGAGGGAGTGAGATGCATTCATTGCTTTTTTTAAGGATAGCTTAACCAACACTAGCTTTAAGCTACATGACCTTTGTTAGAAATATCATGGCTGCTGTTTGTGCAGGTCCTTGGTCATACGTGTTCATATCCTGATTGTACTTCCTGAAGGACAAACATTAGGAAAAGCTGCGTAGTTATTTACTGTAGTCTTCTGTTTCACAACCGGAATTGTGATCTGAGCTTGTTTGTTGCAAGACAAGTGGAAAATGACTCATGACTATGAAAACGACATGGAATGTTTCGTACATTACGATTACAAGATTTTCTTGTTAAGTCCTTTATGTGTTCTTCCAACACCACATTCTCTGTAGCTGACATCGTCAGTAAGGGAGAATCCAGGAATCGAAGGGGGCCGGGGATCTTTCCAGGCACCTCCTAGTCCAGCTCCTCCCACTCACACTCTTTTCCTCTGCTTCCTGTCGTTCTGTTTCACACACACACTCATGCATTTACATACTGTAGATAATCATCTGAAAATTGCAACTGTAATGAAAGCCAGGTTCAGGAAAACAAAGGCCCTCTAATTCCCTCCCTGATTCATGTGACAATATGTGATTGTATACACTCAATATGAATGTGTACCCATGTGTCTCATATAATCTAAGTATATAAAAGTCTATTAATGGACATGGATCCATACATTATCATGAACGAATAAAAGAGAGTAAGTTATGCCCACAGTCACAATAAAAATGTGTTCAGCCCCAGATAACATCTCACAGGTTTCTACCTGAGCGTTACTTCTAATTGGTTTCCTCTCCAATGGAAAGAATGAGTCTTTGAATGGTCACTTCACTTCATCAGTGGAAAGTACCCACTTTTCCAGCCAAGTCGTCTTTCAGTCTTTAATGACTGTTCGAGTTAAAGCTGTTGCTATGTTGAAACATGGGCCATGAAGTAAGGCCAAAGGACAATATTTATATAGTGTGAAATAGTCTGACTGTCAGAGAGCCAGTGCTTACCTCACCTGCTACAACAACTAAAGTCAACACCACTTAAGTATACTGTATGGTGCGATTTAAGAGTCACTGAAGAACGGAAGTATACCGTCAGTAACTGCAAAAAGGTGTCTTTAAGTCACTCTCATGCCACTATTGATTGCAATAGATCTGGAGTGACAGGTACAAAGACTAAAAGGTAGAATAAAGGTTTTAATGAGATGAGAGAGAACTTTGTTGTATGCCTTCTGCAAGTACATTCTCAACTGCAGCTGAAACTGCATAGTTAGTAACAACCTTATGGACGATACCATGAGACATGGCAAGCCCTATCTTGCCTCAGTGGAGGCATGCACTCTCAGAGCTCAGATTTTTACATCATGATCCATAAATTACTCCCTAAGAAAATCTGTGAAAATAAAATTCAATCATCTTACAAGAAAGTTATAGAAAAAAATTCAACAATTTCCAGTGTACCATCCTTCAACCAAGATTCATAGAAATCCACTAGTTTTTTATGTAATCCTACTGACAAACCAACTAACAGACAGAGGTGAAAACATGACCTCTCTGGCAGATGAAATTAAAAACATTCATACTTCATAATAAGTAACTTTGGCAACAAGAAGGGAAACCTGTTTATTGAACGTGATGTTTGTATTTTCTGTGAGGGGGGAAGATACAGCCTTCATATGTTATGTTTCAAGATTCAAGGGTTTATTGTCATATGCACAACAATTACATTTAGCAGTTCCTGGCAATGAAATGCTTGAGTCCCAGACTCCCCTTCAGCCATGCTCAGAAATTACACAAAGGAGAAATAAAAATAGATAGAAAAATGAAATAGAATATATAAAATAACAATCAACCTAAAGTATTCAAATAAAATATAATAAATATACACCTAAAATAAGTAGTGCAAGTATTATAAGGTGCAGAGAAGATGAATTATGGCAGATGGGAGGAGTTTAAAAGTCTCATGGCCTGGGGGATGAAACTGTCTCTGAGCTTGGTGGTGTGGGCCTCCTGCTGCGGTACCGTCGGCCAGATGGCAGCAGGCAGAACAGTTTATGGTTTTCGGTGATCGAGGTCTTTAATAATTGTGAGTATAGAAACCTAATTAAACTAATATGTAAACACTTCAAGGAATTCCCATTTGGCAGCTGAGATTCTACCTTCTTAATAGTGGTTGTGTTGACTTAAAAAGAAGCACCACCATAGTGTGTTCACATATCACAAATCTGGCAGCTGGTGACATGCCTTGTTCATACCAATGAGATACTGTATGCTGCTATTAACAATGACTGACAGTTAATCAGATACACTAGTTATACAATTATATGTGCTGTACACTAACGCAAAACATTATGATACATCCAGTGCAATTCAACAACACTATATTATAACCCAATACAAACCCTTTCCATAATGGCCATTGAGTTAGAAAAACACCTTTCTGAGCTTCATAAACATTGGATTTATTGTTGAGCTGCTGTAATTAGATTGCAATAGATTTTGCTATCTGGGAATTCTCAGTCTTATCATACTGTCTTTGTTGTGCCTGTGACAAATTATGTCATAGATAAAAACCTGATAGCCATGCATCATATTCAGTGCTGCTCCACAGCCTCCTTCTACCCAAGACCATGAGATTTGTGCCTGTATTTACTCAGTTTATAGCATATCTCTCACCTGAAGTGTCATACTGTGGAAAATCGGTGTTTGCTGATACTGTCGGGTAATTTCTGCCATCTGTTTCCCTATACAGTTTCTGACCACATTGCACAACTTGTTAATATCTCATACACAGTACACTTTCCCTCCAGTAATCAGAATCTGGATTTATTGCCAAGTAGGATTACGCATACAAGGAATTTGCTGTATTAATAGAAAAAATGGAAAACAAATGAAAAATGAAAAAATGATATGCAGCAGGGAAGGAGTTGTCCAATAAAAATAAATAAATAAACACTAGATAATGGATTGTGTAAAGTACATTTGGTCAATTATTGGCCACGGAAAGTTGAAGGGTCATCAGTGCCGTCCAGTGATAGGCTTGCAGGCCTTATTGATGAATGGAGAAGTTTACTAACACTGCAAATGGCTTTGAATTTGCATCTGTTGTATTTTTAAATAAATAATAGAAGCATCTTCCTATGATTTTTTTTTTTTTTTTATTGCATAGCGAAATTCAATCATGTGGTTGAGGAGGAAACAAAAAAGACATAAATCAAAATTAAAAACATTATAGTATATGTTGTTAACATATTCAATGCAAATCTGAACTTGTTTGCATGCACAATTATGTTTTGAGCAGGCTTGTAACAAGCGAACAATAGGTTGCTTTGACTTCTGGGAGCGGTCGAAGCCATACAGTAATAAAACAAATAATACCAGCTCACTGACAGTGTCACTCACTGAGAATCACTTAGTTTATATTCCAGTTCAACCGAGATGATCAATGGCTGTGTAAATCCAGCCTCCCTTAAACTGCACTCACAAACACGCATGCATGCGCACACACACACACACTTCTGATATGAGCTAATCAACAACGTTCATACATCAAACGAGGTCAGCAGGTTGAATACACAGACGAATGCACTTTTCTTTTGAAATTCACATTTAAATGTGTCATTACAATATAATGTTTAGTAAACTTGATTAACTTCTAGAGTATTGTTGAAAAGGCAAACTTGACACATTACAATAACACTAGTCAAGCTTATACTCTTTTGATTGTTTAACTCTTGTCCTTTGATCACTCTGACAGGCACTACCACAGTATGGATGAGTTCAGCCATTATGATTTACTGGAGGCTAGCACTGGCCGTAAAGTGGCAGAGGGTCACAAGGCGAGCTTCTGTCTGGAGGACACCACCTGCGACTTTGGTCACCTGAAGCGCTACGCCTGCACCTCTCACACTCAGGTAATACAGCACACGGATACATGAGAGGAAATTAGGTCTATTGATTTGGAGGCTAGTAATAAATGTGATTGGTCGAACAAGCAACGAAAACCAGAAATCTTGTCCCTCAGCTATGGATTATTCATTTTCACATGTAGAATCTTCATCAACAATATGGCGATATCCATCCACTTTGGTTTTGCCAGATTTTTTTTTTCATTACATTACAACAATTTAGTGCAACTAAGTAAAAACTAAGGTTAGCTAGAGCTGGATTTATTCAATATCCTGCCTATCTTTTTAGGCATTGTAAAGCATTTTGTCCACTGACCTAAAATTCCTACTATTTTACTCAGATAAGTATTCCTCACGAGTGTATCCCTCAACACCTTATTTTATTCAGGGTCTGAGCCCGGGCTGCTACGATACATATAATGCTGATATCGACTGCCAGTGGATCGATATCACAGACATCAAACCTGGAAACTACATACTGAAGGTAAGAATCTGTTATGTGTGGACATACAATATTTTATATTAAAGCAAGTTTGTGTACAACACAGGGTCATAGCTCATGGAAGACAGTGAGGGTCTAAGCCAACAAAACAAATTGATCCAGGTTTTAAAAGAGTTATAAAGTTCAGAAGTTGTTATGTTGCTAGTTATTCAGCATTCTTCAAGTTGCAGCATTTCATGGCTCAGTGGCTCTGCATCCCCATCCATCACACGGTCTATTTTCATGCATATTTTATTTGGTCAATATGCTTGCAAGATGTATCCCAAGCAAAAATCTATTCACAATTGCAACCAGTGTTAGTTCTCCCAAATACATTCATTTCTGAAGCATCGTTGGGCCCATTATTTGTTTGTTGAGATTTATGGTGAATTGTAATTTTCATTCCTTCCTTTGTCTCTAGCTCCAAGTTAATCCCAAATTCTTGGTAAAGGAATCAGACTTCACCAACAATGTGGTCAGGTGTAACATTCACTATACAGGACGGTTTGTTCGAACAACCAACTGCAAGATAGCACAGTAAGTAAGATGGTTTGTACAGTTTTTATCTCTTGATTTGTGATTGACAATGATTCTTGGGCAATTTATAGACATTGTTCTTTTACAGAATTAGAACTAAAAGGCAAAGTTGAAAACAGGGTTTATGTAATTTTCCCACAGATGAGTTACAGAAGATCCTCACATTGTTTTAAATTGCTTAGTGGACTTAATGGGTTCTTGGCTGAAATATTTGATGATGTCATGAATTATGTTCTCCAGTTAAAATCTATTGCCTATGAAACTTTCATATTTTCCCTCAAAGGGAGAATGGGTGTCTAACTTTTCAGTAGTGCTATTAGCAACGTATGATTGCACTCAATTACTATTACATCCTTTTCACTATTATATGACCTCATATAGAGAGTGGGCACACACAAGTAGAACGTCAGTAGGTTCAAGTGCTCCAGTCGGTCTCTCTGTCAATGGTACCGTGAAATTAAAATAATGGCTGCCAAAGCATTAGCAGGGGATCAGAAAACTGGACATAATGGTTAGATTTGAAGTACTGTTGCCAATACAGCAATTGTCATCTGTCTAATACCATTATTTCAGTCCTATATTTGACCAATTTCCTTATCTGAAAAAAATAAGTATAAATAACCATGATACAGTATATCTTATCATGATATATCCATACTTATATGATTTTATTTGTACAGTTTGTTTTGACTTTAAACAAAATG